TTTTTTTTTTTTTTTTTTTTTTCTGGCTAAAATATTTTGCAAAGGACCAGGTACTTGGGAAAGGGAGCGGGATGGGGCAGGGGGAGCCCGCCATCCCCTGGAGGCAGGTGGTGTCAATCTTCAACAGCAATTAAAGAGGAAGTGATTTTGTCTAGGGGTGCGCTGCTGCTGGTCTGTTCTTGAGGCGTCTGTGGCCGGCCGCGGTGGAGGCCGGGGGCCCCGAGGTGGCCTGCCGCTGGGTGCCTGCTCCTGGGAGGTGGGCGTGGGGCGCTAGTCAGCCCCGCCATGTCACACAGTTGTTGCAGGCTCCCCCAGCGGGAGGAGACAGGCAGGTCAGAGTGATGGGAGCCCGGGGCGCAGAGCTGCTGGACTCCAGGGGGGCCCTCGCCGCCCAGAAGTAGCTGGGCTGTGGCGCAGGAGACAGGGCGGACGGTGGGGAGCTTTGGTCAAGGCAGAAGCCCTGGAGTGCGTCTGAGTTTGGAATGGCCCTTGCCGCTCCGTGAAGGCGGCAGGTGACCTGGCGAGGGAGGGGTCCGTGCTGGCGGTGGAGGCCGCCCAGGCCAGCCTGCGCGGAGCTCCTGGCCCACAGGCAGAGCCCACGTGGGTCCCTGTCCACGTGGGTCCCTGTCTGCTGGCCCCGGGTGTCCACAGCCCTGGGCAGCCGAGGGTCCATCTCCACGTCCTCCCCAGGGCCACTGAGGCCACGTGAGGGCAGCGTGTAGCTCAGAGCGTCCAGGGCCCAGTCCAGCGCCAGTCCTGCCAGCCCTGCGTGAGCCAAAGCTTTGCCCTGGCCTAGGGTGGCTGCAGCTGCAGGGGGCGGGGGTGGGCAGCCCTCCAGCGCCGACGAGCCTCGTGGCGCACAACCACGGCAGCCAGCCACGGTCCCAGCCCGGCCCGGGGCCCACTGCTCCTGCAGCCCCGAGGTCGCTAGGCAGGCGGGCAGGTGTGGGCTCGGGGCAGGTGCCCCCCAGGTGCGGGTGTGCAGTCTGGGAGGCAGAGCAGAGGGGCCGTCAGCTGGGCGCCGCCCGGCTCCGCCTTGGTGACCCCAGGGCATCCCCTCCCTCAGGAGTTTGGGGAGGAGAGGCTGAAAGGGCCACAGGCAGCCAGAGCCAGTGGAGACACACTTGCGGCGGTGACAAGGGGGTCAGACGTCACAGCCCCACGGGAAACCTCAGCACCGCGTCCGTGGACTGCTTTCTGCCACAGGCTGCGTCGCCAAGCCTGGAGGCGTAAGGGGTAGCGGCTGGGTGACCTGCGGCCCGGCCAGCTGCCAGACGGGCCGGACGGGCTCCCTGGGCCCGGCCAGTGCTGCCCCGCCACCCCACGCGCGGCCCCAGCTGCTCTCGTGCGTCCCTGCCTGGGTCCGCACCTTGCCGCTGGGGCCACCACCCGCGCTCTGGGGCCACCACCTGCGCCCTGGGGCCACCACCCCAGGGCCACCACCGCGCCCTGGGGCCACCACCCGCGCCCTGGGGCCACCTGCCCCTGCTGCCGTGTGCTGTGGCACAGCTGAGCTTCCTCATGGGCTCTACCAGAAGCCAGAGGAGTTTGCAGTCAGAAGCCACGTCACTAAATCTGGTGAGGCTCTCCAGGCCGCCCAGTCAACCGTAAGTCGCCCTCCGCAGCCTCTCCCCACCTTCCCGTTCTCAGAGGTCCGACTGCAGGCCCTGGCCAGCCCGCGATGCCTCCCAAGGCACCCCATTCCCCACTCTCGCTTCCCAGGGCGGCGGGGAGTCCGGGGACCCCGGCCCCCGGCAGGCCAGCCGCTGCGCCACGACTGACGTTCACGTGGCGCCTTCACGTGGCGCAGCCACGCGCCTGGGCCGTGTGCTGACCTCCAGCTGGCCCCTGAGGAAACAGCACTTGGAAAGTCCCGCCAGCAGATGGAGGGGCGCGGGTCTGCACCCCGCATTCTGACCCCAGGCGCGCCTGAGGCCACGCCTCATCTTGCGGGAGCGGGAGCGAGCCTCCCTCGCTTCAGATTCGCCACGGCCCAGCGGACCAGGCTTGGTGTCCACCCACTCGCCACTCGCGCTTCCGTGAGACACCCTGGGCATCACGCGCTTGCGGCCACAGCCCAGGCCCTCATCCTTCCTACCCCTTTTCTTGTGGGTTTGTGGGGTCTCGAGCAGAACAGCTGCACACCCCGGCGATGGGGCCCGCGTTTCACTGGCAGTGAGGGAGGCCGGAGACAGCCCACCCACCCCCCTCGGGCACTGGGCAGCCCCTCCGGGCTGGCCGAAGGTGAGGACTTTCTGGGGACGCTGCCAGGGCGGCGGTGGGGGGCCAAAGGACTCGGCCTACTGGAGGGGTGTGGGGGCCCCAGGACGGGCGCCCGTGCGCACCCTGGCGTAAAGCACAGGGCGGGCGGCTCGGTCTCCCCAGCCCGGCCGCCACCCCTGGGTCAGGGCGGGGCGTAGCTCACTCAAGGGACCCTGGGCCTCACCTCCACAGCCCCACCCCACTGCCACCTAGAAGAGGCTGACCGACGGACGGTCCAGTTGTTTATTCAGAAACCTGATTGTTCAAGAACGTGGAGGGGGCCTGCGCCCCAGCCTTTCCGCTGGGCGTCTCGGAGGCGGTGGCGGCTGCCCCCCACTCCTCGGCCAGAGGGCGCCGCCTCAGCTCGGAGCACAGGCCCGGGACAGCTCGCGAGGGATCAGGGAGACTCCCGGTGGGGGTCTCTGCGAAGTGCTCATCACACTGGGGGGGCGACCAGCAGGTTGGGGGGGACAGGCTTCCCTGGAAAGCATGGGGG